AACTAGGGCCAAAATCTCTCAAGAACATCATCTAAAGAATCATAAAGGACTTTTCTGCTCCGGGCTGCCAAAAGCATTTCAGCTATGACACAACTACTGTATGTATAAGAAGAAATATCATGCATTTTTGACCATTTCATGTAAGGTACACACTCAAACACACACTTACCTGCATGTACCTTGTACCGCAGTTAACTGAGAAAAGGGTTGGAAAAGAGCAAACTTAAACTTACAGACAGCAGACACTGCTGTGTTATTGAGGTATTGATTTCCCTTTGTTTATTTCTCTAACACTTCTGGGAGTAATACATTTCCTGTCTAAGAGCTTTACAGTCATGTGACACAGGTGTGCCAATGTACTGAGTTATTCTAGCCTCACAGGCACAGCTATGGCATTTAACACACAGGTCCGCTAGAGTTTCTTATGGATTACTGAAACATTGGCTGGTAAGCAGCTTCTAAGCCAAGTCTCTTCCATAACAGTCAGAAGCATTTTCAGTATTGATCTCATTTCAGTAGCATTAAAGAGAAACCCTGGCCAGTTTTTTAAATGGGATGAGCAGTATATTTTGACCACATAAATCTCGCTGCATATTTTTTGAGATGCCAAATCAATCAAAAAGACTCAAAAAGGGCACTGAGTACTTATTCCTGATCAATGTCCAGTCTGGTGCTGTTGAATGTGATGGGCGGCTCTATGCCTGTTTATGTCGTAGAGTCATTGCAATGTTCTGACTGTTTGGTTTGTTGCCCCATAGCCTGAAGTTTATGCTTTATTTTGTAATTATGACATTTTTAAAATATGTTTGTGAAAAGGCAGTTTATAGAATTTTGAATGATTGTTTGTTTTGCTTGTGGTAACTGACAAATGATCAATGCTGATCAATCCGGAAGCCCTAATGAGTCAAGCCAATGCAGGTGCATTGGCCAATGGCAGGCTCTATATATGGATATAAGCTGCTGCTGAGTACCGTTACCTTTGAATGTTTCTCCTTTAGAACTGTGATTCCTTCATCCTGTTACCTGTCTGGGTAAAGTGGCTCTGGTTGAGACTAATTGCCCTCAGCCTTAAGATGCTGCACTGTAGGATCGCCCACATTCTTAGGGACAGCCCAGCTTCCCACACCGTCCTGCTCCACCTGAGTGAGTGGAGTCAAGGAGCCGAACATGAAGATTATTACAGTGTGGTGCTTCTGCTAGCTGAGGTCCTGCATACCCCTCACTCTAGTGATCTAGTGTTTTTGCCTGTGCAGTACACTCAAGGCAATCTCCGACCTTGAATTCAAGTGCATCAGGAAACCTCAGTTGAATGTGCATGACCTTTGAGCCCTCAGATGGCATTGCATAAGTAATCATCATGCTGTGGTGTTAAATATAGCCACATGGGCTCAGGAGTACTTTGGTAAACCATTGTTACTTAACACAGTCTGCCGCTGCGTCAATAAATGCAACTTGAATCTCTGTTACTAGATGAAAGCAATACATCAATTTTATGCAGTGATGCCACGGGGTTCTCTGGGCCAGAGCTTATCTCAGATAGTCAAAAAGACAGTGGAAATGTGTGCTGTGGTCAGATGAGTCCACATTTTAACTTGTTTCTGGGGAAAATGGACGTTGAGTTCTCAGTCCCAAAAACCAAAGGGACCATCCAGACTTTCATCAGTGACAGATTCAAAAGCAAACATCTGTCATGGTATGGGGCTGCAGCAGAGCAAACGGCATGGGTGACTGGCTTGCAGCCATCAAAATCAAAATGTGTTTATATTTACAAAATAAAATTAATTTGGCCATGAAAACATTGGAATGTTTTTCTTTTGTACTTTAGTCAATTAAATACAGGTTAAAGAGAATGAACAAATAACATATTCTTGATTTTATGGCATTTCACAAAACGTCCCATCTCTTCTGGAATTGGTGTCATATGTATTTATTTAGTTAGTTAGTTAGTTCATTCATTACATTTATGCACGTATGTATGTACAGTATGTGTACACACCAAGTGCACCAAGTTAATGGATTTCTCAAATAACTTTAATTACACCAAATGTATGCAATCAGGTTATTATTTAATAATTGGGACATGCCTAGTTAACTAGATTATGTTTTAAGAGGCATGATTACTGTCACACAAGGAAAATTACCATTGCTTGGAGTGTGTTAAGAACATGAACAACCAACATAAATTTAAACTAGGGCCAAAATCTCTCAAGAACATCATCTAAAGAATCATAAAGGACTTTTCTGCTCCGGCTGCCAAAAGCATTTCAGCTATGACACAACTACTGTATGTATAAGAAGAAATATCATGCATGTTTGACCATTTCATGTAAGGTACACACTCAAACACACACTTACCTGCATGTACCTTGTACCGCAGTTAACTGAGAAAAGGGTTGGAAAAGAGCAAACTTAAACTTACAGACAGCAGACACTGCTGTGTTATTGAGGTATTGATTTCCCTTTGTTTATTTCTCTAACACTTCTGGGAGTAATACATTTCCTGTCTAAGAGCTTTACAGTCATGTGACACAGGTGTGCCAATGTACTGAGTTATTCTAGCCTCACAGGCACAGCTATGGCATTTAACACACAGGTCCGCTAGAGTTTCTTATGGATTACTGAAACATTGGCTGGTAAGCAGCTTCTAAGCCAAGTCTCTTCCATAACAGTCAGAAGCATTTTCAGTATTGATCTCATTTCAGTAGCATTAAAGAGAAACCCTGGCCAGTTTTTTAAATGGGATGAGCAGTATATTTTGACCACATAAATCTCGCTGCATATTTTTTGAGATGCCAAATCAATCAAAAAGACTCAAAAAGGGCACTGAGTACTTATTCCTGATCAATGTCCAGTCTGGTGCTGTTGAATGTGATGGGCGGCTCTATGCCTGTTTATGTCGTAGAGTCATTGCAATGTTCTGACTATTTGGTTTGTTGCCCCATAGCCTGAAGTTTATGCTTTATTTTGTAATTATGACATTTTTAAAATATGTTTGTGAAAAGGCAGTTTATAGAATTTTGAATGATTGTTTGTTTTGCTTGTGGTAACTGACAAATGATCAATGCTGATCAATCCGGAAGCCCTAATGAGTCAAGCCAATGCAGGTGCATTGGCCAATGGCAGGCTCTATATATGGATATAAGCTGCTGCTGAGTACCGTTACCTTTGAATGTTTCTCCTTTAGAACTGTGATTCCTTCATCCTGTTACCTGTCTGGGTAAAGTGGCTCTGGTTGAGACTAATTGCCCTCAGCCTTAAGATGCTGCACTGTAGGATCGCCCACATTCTTAGGGACAGCCCAGCTTCCCACACCGTCCTGCTCCACCTGAGTGAGTGGAGTCAAGGAGCCGAACATGAAGATTATTACAGTGTGGTGCTTAAGGGTCTGAACGTGTCCGTAAATGTGTAAAATCCACCTCCTAATGCTTCTGAAGATTCTTTGGGATCAAACTTGCACAGTCAGAAGCTGTTTTTTTATTTTGACATCTTTACTCTGTCAAATTTAATTAAAGCACTGTTAATAATGTAAAAGTTGATTCTTGTCCCTTATTGTTTGAAAATTCATCTTATTTATTCATCTTTTTTAAAATAATTATATTTAACACATTTAGCTGTTGTCCTCCCAGTGTTTCAGCTTTAGTTTCATCTGCACAGACAGTCTTATTCTGTCTGTGTTTTTTTTTCTTTGCCTGCCTCTTGTAAAGGACACTCATTTTGCTTTCTTACTCCTTTGCCTCTTCAGCTCAACCTGGTTGTCATGCACTGTTGAACTCCACTTTCTTGAAAAGAAATGAGGGCTTCACGCAGCAGCCTGCGTCAAGTCAA